GCATTACTGAAATGCAATCCGCTTTTCAAAGTATCATCTATCAGCACACAGCCCTCTCACCATAATGCCAGTGACTTCTTTTTATAATCCTCTATAGAGACTTTGTAATGTCGAGCAATCAATTTTAAACCGTGAAGAGCCGCGGTTAAGAAAGTCTTAAACTACTCCATGCGCGGTTTAACGGGTTAATATGATGCACTCAGTTATTCAAAACTGGTTGAAACTGCGGTTTATACGGTTAAGAACCTTGGCAACTGCGGTTTAAGACGGTTTATAACCATTCAAAACATCGGTTTTAAAGGTTTCAAACCGCAAAAACCTGTGGTTAGATCGGTTAAACCGTGGTTTAAACTGCTGAAACCGTTAAAACCGCCCGGTTTGACGGTTATTTATTCGTGCCTGGGTTCAGTTATTTTTTCTCAGTCAAATGTCAGTCATCTGAATCGTTGTCACTATTAGCTAATGAATATTTCACATCTGTATCGTCAGCACCAATCGATTCAAAATCTTGATATTTTAAACTATTATGAATTTTGTTAAAATAATGCTGGGATGACAGAGGATGAATTGGTAAATCTGTTGCCGCTTGATTCACACCCAAATGCCACAATACAGCTGTTATATGAAAGCAGCAGCCAATAACCCTACTGCCTAGTGAACACGTACAATATATTATTTATTGATTTATTTATTGATATATCATTTACTGAGTATTGGTTGTTCTTGTGCACTATCAAATTGTGGAATAATAATGTTTTGAGCCATGTTTAGATTGACTTACACGAACGAACTAAAGAATCATCTGATGAACAGAGCTGGACGTCAAAGTTATACGCATCCTCATCAATTATTGATGGTTTCAGGTGATGTTTGAAGAGTAACTTTTACACTGAATCACTTGATACACACCTGAGTGAAAGAGAAAGATTAATGGTGGTAGTTATGTTTATTTACGAGGTCATGGCGGCTTTCCAAATTTTCTACGTTATTCAGATTTGACACAACTCGGGATCTACATACAGAACTGGCTTCTTTATTTCTATCCTAGCATGTCCCATTGAAATATACTTTCATTGTAATATTCTTTGAAAGTTTCATCGAGAGGATCTTGATAGTCGTATCAGACGGAGGAAAGACGTAAGAAAGATCAGAAAAAAGAAAATCGTAGTACAAGTTATTCCACGTAAATCATCTTCAGTTAATTGTGGAAATACAACGTGTTTGACATCATGTTTGTTCCACTTCAACATAAACTTATTTCCATCCAAATAATGTTTTAGTTCATTATCAACGTGTAACAATTTCAACATTTTAACTTCTACCCTTTTCCACTATCAAGATTTTTTATCGATGGTAGTTTATACTTATTAATTATTAAACATATTATCAAAAAATAATCGGCGATATATGGTAACGAGGAATTTTGTACAGTATTCGAAAACAATTTGAATTGTTTAATATGACTGTTAGCAGATTCCACTGTCCAACTCACTTTGGTAACACATCGTGATAGATTAGCCTCTTCAGCTGTGAACTGACTATTTCTATACAGAAAATATGGCATAGCAACATTGAAGCCAAGATACTTCATTGTATTTACTGCATCCCGAAAGCCCCTGTCCAATTTGATAATATCATCATCCTTAAACCAAGGAAGAATATCATCATAGTTGTTAAAAAAACAATGTGTTATAATGGAAGCAGCATTATTTTTTCCATCAACCATAAATGGACCAAGAATACTTAAAATATAGCCATCACTTGCTACAATAAGCATTGGTTTCACTAGGTGTCGTTTTTTATGATTACTGTATAATGCTTTCTGTACTTTATTGTTTGCAAATTTTTGACAGTAAATATATGTACCATCCATAATGACACATGCTTGATCTTTTGTATTTACCATTATTTCTTTACAAATCTGGAATATATGTTGCTCAATACCATTCTTGCCACTATGTTTCATTTAAAGAATAAACATTACAGTATCCTGAATAATCCATCAAGTTTGTGAAGCATTGATAATTAATTTTGTACCGGATAAGATTCATATGTCTTCTTTCAATTATGTATAAACATCTCTCTTCTTTTCCAGCCGTTCTCTTAAAAATGATAAATTTTGTTATCAAAACGCCCAGCTAATGTGAAATAAATAAAAATAAATTTACAAAACTGAAATAAAAAACCCGATCTTTAAAACACTAGGGACAAAAACGACGGTCATATTTGGAACCAGCAACATATACATATGTTTACCTAATTTTTACACAGAAATCGATTTACCAGTTGGGTGAACGTCTGTCGTTAGTTTTAAACCAGTTACAGTCCATTTAAAAACGAAACGTCTCTTTTGGAAGATTGAATAACTTCCGAATGGAACATGCTAAAAATGTTTCACTTCCCCTTTCCTATGTGAAAAGTTATGCTCTATCCGAATACTACTTACATTCACAGACACGCTGAAGTCATAAAACTAGAAAAACTCGTTTTTATCATGTTTTTGCTTTTTTTCACCCAAATCGGGTATTTTTTCAACTCATTTTTTAGATATGTGTTTGGTATGCATTGAAAACGTCGAAAGAAAAAATGTCGAAGGAAAAAATGTCGAAAACTAAATGTCGAAAAAAAAATGTCGAAGGAAAAAATATCGAAGAAAAAAATATCGAAGGAAAAAAATGTCGAACGAATGATGGGAAAAACAGATGTATTGATGATTAAAATTAACTATAAAAAAGTAACACAGTAAACCATCCAGAGTCAGTTGTCGATAACCGTCAACCGACATTTGAGCGACCGACATTAC